TGGAAGACCAATCCCGGCCAGGACAAGAAGATTGGAAAGTCACTTGTGGCAGTTCATCACGTAGTACCCATAACAGTGGCTAATATCTCTAAATGTGAGCAGAAACTTAAGGAAGAGGCATTGTTGGGTGTGTGTCAGGAAGTAGAGCCAGTCAATGTTAAGGCAAGAAATACAACCATTAAGAAAGGACATCCTCTCCCAGAACATTTTACTGACCTCTGTAAGAAGAGCATAGCCCATTTGTCATCATCACAGGCTCTTCAGGTTAGAGAACTTTTGGTGAATTATGCAGACGTTTTATCAAAAGGAGATTATGACCTTGACTGCACAGACCTCGTAGAGCACAGAATAAACACAGGCAAAGTGACAAGAGATGGAGAAGGTCATAAATGGCCTAATTAAAGAAGGGATAGTCGAGAAATCGGATAATCCCTGGTCAGCTCGTGCCGTGTTAGTCCAGAAGAAGGATGGGACCCAACATCGCTGTGTGGACTTCAGAGCTCTTAACAGTATAACCGAAAAGGACTCATACCCACTGTCAAGAATTGATGATACTCTTGATGCCCTAAGTAGAGCCAGGTGGTTTTCAACTCTAGACTTAAAGCCGGGTTTCCATCAAGTGAAAATGGCTGAAGCAGATAAACCTAAGACTGCATTTAGTTCTGGCCAAGATCTCTGGCAAAACTGTGTGATGCCATTCAGGCTTAGCAATGCTCCAGCAACATTTGAGAGGCTGATGGAAATAGTACTTACTGGAAGGCCTATAATGGAGGATAGCCTTAGTGTACCTAGATGATGTAATTTTATTTTCAACAACGTTTGATGAGGAAATGACCCGGCTAGAGGAAGTATTCAAGCATTTGAAAGCAGCAAACCTCAAACTTCATCCCAAGAAATGCCACTCGTTCCAGAAAGAGGTGCTTTACTTGGGTCACATTGTAAGTAAGCATGGTGTGCAAACTTATCCTGACAATGTGGGAGAGTTAAGAAATTTCTTGGAACTCTGTACCTATTACCGGAAGTTTGTGAAGAACTTTGTAACTATAGCTGCTCCACTACATGATTTGCCAAAAAAAATGCCAGAAGTTCGAATGGACAGTTTCTTGTCAGCATGCTTTCAAGACATAGAAAGAAAAATTGGCCTTAGCTCCACTTTCAAATCTTTCAAATCCCTCACTGCCGTATATACTGGATTGTGATGCTAGTAATATCGGAATTGCGGTAGTGTTGTCTCAGAAAGTGGGCGAAAACGAACATGTGGTGGCCTACTTCAGAAGGATCCTGAGTAGACCAGAGAGGAAATACTGTGTCACACAGAGGAAACTCCTTGCTATAGTAAAGAGTCTGACATATTTTAATCCTTAACACTGTGGCGCCAGGTTTCCCATCAGGACAGACCATGCTGCATTACGCTGGTTAAGATCATTAAAGAACCCGGAAGGACAACTGGCACGTTGGATCGGAAAGATAGACCAGTATTATTGTGATATTGAATACGGAGAATGAAAATCTCATGGAAATGTCAACGGACTGAGCCGAAGACCCTGCAAACATGACTGCAGACATTGCTGCAAAAGAGAGGTTGAACTAACCAGGTGCCATCAGGCTGAAGTCAAAGTGACTGAAGGAGTTTATGATGGTGAAGTGGAACCAAGGTTATATATTAAAGCAGAACAGGAAAAAGACCAAGATTTGAAGCCAATAATTGATTTTCTACAAGCAAGTGTTTTGCGCCTTGCTTGGGAGAAGGTGTCTAGCTTAAGCCCTGTCACAAATAACTATTGGGCACAATGGGACCAGTTGAAGCTTGAAGATGGTATTCTTGTCCGGAGATGGGAAACTGCAAATGGGAAAGTGACGATCTAGCAAACAGTAATACCGAGAACGTTACAAGAAGTTGGGCTGCATCAATCCCATGATAGTTTAACAGAAGGACATCTGGGAGTTATGAAGACATTGAGTCACCTACGGCAGAGATTATACTGGATAGGTATGAGGCAATATGTGGAAGAATGGTGCAGGACCTGCAGTACATGTCAAGAATAACGGATGTGCTCCAATGAAGTTATATCAAGTTGGTGCACCAATGGAAATAGTAGCCATTGACATTGCTGGTCTGTTGCCCCGAACTCTTGCTGAAAACAGGTACATTTGTGTGGTGATGGATTATTTCACCAAGTGGCCTGAGGCATATACAATACCAAATCAGAGAGCTACAACTGTAGCTTCAGATATTAGTGAGTTCTTCTTCAGATTTGGTGTGCCATACGAACTGCATTCAGATAAAGGCCGAAACTTTGAATCAGCTGTGTTCCATGAATGCTGTAAGTTGTTTGGCATACGAAAGACCAGGACAACGCCACTTCACCCATAGTCTGATGGGATGGTAGAAAAGTACAATTGGACACTTGGACAGGAATTGGCAAAGTTTTGTAATAGTCGCCAAGATGGCTGGAATGTCTTTCTCCCTCTACTGTTGATGGCCTATAGAACAGCAAAGCATGAAGCCACTGGATACACTCCAGCAAAGCTGATGTTTGGTCGGGAATGTCGGTTGACAGTGGACCTTATAACAG